TATCTAAATTAAGAGACTTCTTAAAAAGTAATATACAAATATATTAATGTAAAATGAAAAAAAAAATTTATAAAAGTTTCCAAATCCCCAGGAATACTGATCTCACCAAAAATAATTAAATACTGCTGGTCTGGAGAGTTCTCACTACTATAGACCATTTGCCCCATTTTGATGTATCTTGGAAAATCTTATTTATTCTCTCTTGGCATTATGTGACTTGCTTCAGAATTTCCATTTCATGAGGCAAATTTTCTTTGGCATTCAGTTAAGCCAGCTTATTAGACACAGTAGACTTTCTTTTTCTTCTTCTTCTTCTTCTTTTGGGATTACACCCAGAAAAAGTGCCACATCTTGGAGTTCCTAGCAGCACCCACTCTGTGCCAACGTCTCTGCACGTGGCACTGGGCCCACATTCCTATGTGGTTTCCATACCTCTGAGCAGAAAAAGAGCTCACTCACTCACAAGGCCTTAAATGCAATGTAGAAGAATTCACAAGTTTCATGGCCTTGGTCTATGAAGGAAACTGGACTTTAATTTTATTCCAGTTTTAAAGATATCCATATATGTCTTTCTATATAACTCTCTAAACATATCTGCTACTATAATACCACAGATTTTACTATTATTAGAAATGCTACTAAAAAAGCAATATAATAAAAATGCAATACTTTAATATTATAGTGGCAGAGCTAGAAATATTAATTTGAAATTCAGAGTATTACTCTCCCTACTCACAATATGAAACCATAATGTGATATTCCTTGAAAGAATTAAAAAATCAGCTAAGACACCACCACCAGTTGTGAAACCCATCGTGTACTTTCCAATCTTGAAAATGTATCTATCTAGCCAATATGTTCCAATTTCTTAGCAGAATGTACCAGGTGCTTTAAGACTGGCTCATTATATTTTAAAATATGGTTTTATAATATTTTTAATACTTTTACATCATGAGCATTTTCACATTATTAAACTTAACAGTGCTTAATCTAAAATCCATAACTCATTTAGGATACAATATTACTAAGTCCACTATCTTTGTCTAATAATTTATGAGTTTTGACCATTTCATATTTGAAATAAACACCCTTCTACATAAATCCTGTATGTACCACAGCCTCTGCTTGTCCATAGGATGCCTCTGTGCAACTACAAAGGATGGGCCCTCTGGGCAGATGCTGACAGATTCTAATCAGTACACAGGGCTTAGAAAGTAGAGCCCAGTGTACACTTCCGTGAGGCACACTCCCTCCCTGCACTAGTACATTAAGCAGCCCTGGTGTGTACCTTTAATTATTTCTTTAGAATAAAGTTACAGAAGTATATAAATTATAGAAGTAGAATCAAAATAATATGAACTTTTTTCAGGTTTTCAAAATATATCAACAAACTGCTTTTGAAACAAGCAGTAACAAATTCCCACCAAGGTAGGAGCAAGTGCTAACATAATGTAATTCTCATATTTGTTTCCCAACACACAGCACAGCACCCAGCAGATTCAAATATATGTCAAATAAATAAAGGAAGCTAATAATAAGCAGTGGAAGAAAATTCAAATGAAAAAGTTATCTTTTACATCAATTATGTAAACATTCCTTACAAAAGTAACTCAGGCCTTAATTATCTAACTTATATTCCTAGTCACAATTAGTCTGAGGACTAAATAAATGTTAAATTATGTAAACTATACCTAACACAGCATTACACATTTTTTTACAGCATTCTGGGATTTACAAAGTATCCTAACATTATCATGTGCTCTGATGAAAAAAACACCCTGAAAGGAGGAGAGGCACTATTCTAAGATTTGATAATGATGAAAATGATCTGGAGAGGTACCAAGGCAACAAGTTAAATCATGTCAGGGTCTTTATGAAAACTTCTTAGTCTCCAGTCTCTGTCACAGCTTTTTGTGACTTCTCTGCCAGTTACATCATTAACTACCGACAATTTCAATGTATACTTCTATATAAACTCAGGAACTGCCTGCTATGATACTCTCACTTCCCATCCAATTCAAGCTCCAAGACCCATCTTTAACCTTTGTGACAAACTGCCCTTTACCCATCAATTCTCCATACATAAAGGACAACAAATAGTAAAGGAATGAAGGCACAATTTAGAGCTGAGAAGACCTATTGCAAGTCTCATCTTGGTCATTTTCTATCTTCATGACCTTCAACAAGTCATTCAACCACTTTGAGTCCAAGTTTCCTTCTCCACGAAAACAAGAGTAAGACTAATACCTACTGTATTTGCCCTATTTACCCTAACTAACGTAGATGGCAATCTGCAAATTCTTACATGTCATACACATAAGAATTATCAAGCCTTAATCAATAGCTCAGGTATTTAATGGGGGGGGGGGATTTGAAATTGAGGCCAGGTAACAGATTAAATGAATCTCTAATTGTATGCATGTAAAGGGCATCTTTACAGAGAGCCTGAGAAATGCAAGCAGAATTCAAAAGAGAACGTAGAACGAGGGATATCATTCCTGATGTCAGATGGATCTTAGCTGAAAGCAAAGAATACCAGAAAGATGTTTACTTATGTTTCATTGACTATGCAAAAGCATTCAATTGTGTGGATCATAACAAATTACAGATAACACTGAGAAGAATGGGAATTCCATAACACTTGATTTTACTCATGAGGAACGTGTATATAGATCAGGAGGCTATGATCAGAACAGAACAAGGGGATACTTCATGGTTCAAAATCAAGAAGGGTGTATCCTTTCACCATACTTATTCAACTTGTATGATGAGTAAATAATCTGAGAAACTGGATTATATAAAGAAGAACATGGCATCAGGACTGGAGGAAGACTCATTAACAACCTGTGATATGCAAATGACACAACTTTGCTTGCTGAAAGTGAGGATGACTTGAAGCACTTCTGATGAAGACTGAGGACTAGTCTGCAGTATGGACCGCACCTCAATATAAACAAAACAAAAATCCTCACAACTGATCTAATAAACAGCTTCACAGTGAATGGAGGAAAGACTGAAGTTGTCAAGGATTTCATATTATTTGGTTCTACAATTAACAACAATGAAAGCAGCAGTCAAGACATCAGACGACATACTGCACTGAGCAAATCTGCTGCAAAAGAACTCTTTCAAGTGCTGAAGAGCAAAGATGTCTCCTTGAAGACTAAGGTGCACCTAACCCAAGCCATGCTATTTTCAAAGCCTCTTAATGCAAGTGGGAGCTCTGGTGGCATAGTGCCTAAGGCATTTGACTAACCAACCACTCCTCAGAAGAAAGGCTGGGCAATCTACTTCCCTAGAGATACCGCCTCAGAAACCCAAGGAGGGGTCACTATGAGTCGGATCCAACTCAACAGCAGTGAGTTTGTTCTTTTCTTTTTTTTTTTTTTTTGTCTTATGCATGTGAGAGCTGGACAATGAATAAGGAAGACTGAAGCAGAGTTGATGCTTTTGAGTTGTGGTGTTGGAGAAGAATGCTAAGAGTACCATGGTCTGTTAAAGAACTAATAAATCTGTCCTGGAAGAAGTACAGCCGGAATGATCCTTGGAAGCAAGAATGGACAGACTTCCTCTCTCCTATTTTGGTCATGTCATCATTAGGAACCATTCCCCTGGAGAAGGGTATCTTGCTTGGTAAAGTGGACGGTCAACGAAGGAGAAGGCCCTCAACAAGATGGATGAACATAGTGGCTGCAATGATGGGCTCAGGTATAGCAAGGATCGTGAGGCTGGCACAAGACCGGGCAGTGTTTTGTTCTGCTGTGCATAGGGTCACTATGAGTCAGAGACGACTCGATGGCACCTAACAACAACAACAACAACAACAACAACAAAGGGGATCTTTGGGTTGTTCCCCAAATCCCTATTAAAACCAAGCCATAATATAAAACAGGAAAATGCCAGATTTCCAGAAAGAGATAACATCTCATCAATTTCCTACTTAAAAAA